TACTCTGCCACAAGTATGAGTTTGCAACCGTGAAACTTGGGTCAGAATTCTAGGAGATATTCACCTAAACTAGGGGTCAGAAGCTAGAGACATTACGTTCCTGAATTGTGGCTGGGTATTATTAAAGAATGGTATAAATTACAAGTAAAACATATTCTTAAACCTACCCTTACCTTAATTTTAAGATAGTATTTAATAATAATAAAAAATAAACTTAAAAATACTTGCAGAATTAAAAAAAATTAAGGCTTATTAGGATTATTATTAGTATAGTATTTGGTACAGTAATCGTATAAAAAAGGAAGCACTGACACAGTATTGTGCACAAATGTGAATTAGTAATGGGCATTTAAGACAGGTCCACTGACTCATAGCCCTAGGGTCCTGTGGTTTCTGAAATGCTTGATTCTCTCTGCTGTTGTATGAGTGTAGTGTGTAAATATGGACTGAAACTCCACTAATCCTTGTTCTCTTGATAGCTCTCAGCCATTGCATTGGAATTGGGATATCCAACGCAATGATTATTTTTGAATGTTATTAAAAATCTATCATGCGACTGACTGGCTGATTAATAATATGAAACAACTAGCATCCAGAGCGCCGCAAGTCTCTAGAGCTCTCAGATATGATGATGAGAGAGAAGCATAAATCAGGTTTCCTGCTTCATATTCCTCAACTGTTGGAAGCACAGACACACACATAATTAATAATAATAACAAGCACCTTTCACATAAAATAAATGTTTCAAAGTGCTTTACAAAATATAATGGACTCAAATCAAATAAGCATTTGTCTATAGGCAAACAAAACACACTAATCTGCACCAGAAGTGGCACACAACCAACAATGAAATGATTGGAATTGTGCAACCTGAGACACAGTTCTAGGAGTTGTTCACATCACCTGGAGGTCAGAATTACTAATTACATTACATTCTTGAATTTAGGCACCGTATAATTAAAGAATGAGATAGAAATTGCAGGAAGAATTTTTGGTAACTTAATTTTCAGACAATACGTGGTACAGCAGACTTTTTTTTAAAAAGCAAACGACGATAGAGTATTGTGCGAGTAGTGCATCGATAATACAATACAAATTTGCATTTATATAGTGCCTTTTACATCAGTGGGGGGAACCTGAGATGCTTGTCTAAAAGTGATTTCTGTTTTGGTCAGCCTGGTGTCTAACGCATGCAGAAGCCTAGCATGATGCTTCAGAGTAGGCAAACCAGTCAGTCACACATGGAAATTCCCATGTCTGGAATGGATCGCTCTACCTGGAGGACCCATCCAGCTTACCTAATCAAGCTTCACCTAAGAACAAGTGAATTTTAGTGGCTGTACAAGTGCTGGAAACTTCTAAGAAAGCACTGTATGATTGTGGATTGAAATGGCAGCTGTTTAGTTTACAGTCTGCCCCTGAGATGGCAAAACATCAGTGAAAATCAATAGTTTATGTGGCCTCTTGCAACTCTGCTGGCCTAGCCGCTCCTTCCACTCAGCAACTCATCTGGACTTTACTAAACTTGATTGTTTCTGAAACCTTAATGATGGGCCCAGGTGAATCTCAGAAGCAATTTTTGCATCAGAAGCAGGAATTTTCGGTGGTGGTAAATCCTACACAGTGGTCCAAAGCTCCAAACCACAAATAGCCAGGACAAACTGAAGGATTACTGTGATCATTGTGACAACTGCTATGTTGCCAGAATAATCTGCAGATTGTTCTGTAAGAACTCTCCTGATATCAACACTGATCAAAAACATAGTACATTGGTATTCTCAACCTGCTAACAGACAGCATCCTGACCCCTTAAAGGGTTCCCACAGGGTAGAAATGGATCATTTTGAAAAGTCAGCCTAAACAAACTATAAGAGATTTCCCTGCTTTAAATTCAGTTCCCGTACACTGCCTCTTTCAATTCTAGTCATGCCGCTGCCACTGCAGCAATGCTTGTTCATTTTCATACACTGCTCACATACCTACTGGTGACTCTCATGCCTACTGCGAGTAAGCAACTGGCCTCAGCTCATAGGAATATGTTTTACTTCCAAATTGCTTCAAATAAAGTTGAACTACGGTGTGGCTGGACTTGCAAGCACTCAAAAATCGGAGTTTACAGTTACAGTTCGGTGCTGAATGTCTGAGTCTATGAACACAGTCTGTCAGTCGGGCTCAGCTGACAGTACTCTTGCCTTTGAGTCAGAAGGTTGGGGGTTCAAGCCCCACATTGGGATTTTGAGTTCATACCATTTAGGCTGACATTCCAATACAGAGACTCTACAGTTTCCGATAAATCCTGTGAAGTGCTTTGAGACATCCTCTTGATGTGAAAGGCGCTATATAACATTGGAAATTTTCACTGCATGACATCCAAATTGTGGCAATATAATTCTCTTCACTAATTTTGCTCAAGTCTTCACACAAAAACAATATCACTGAGCTGATTCACTGGGGTTAGATATACAAATAAATGGTCTGAATAGAAATACATTAGGTATTATTAAATTATTGAGTCAACAAAACAACTCAGTTTAATGCCCTTCCTTTCTGATAATGTGTTCATTACCACAAAATTTAATTTTAAATTGCATTTCAAAGATATGAACTATACTAGAGGATGAGTCATAAAATGTGTGTAAAAGAACTTAAAGACAAGTTAGTTGTTAAACAGGTTTATGTAATGCTGAATAATGAACTAAAAAAGAAAATACGCTGAATTAATTTAACTATTTAATACATTTAGACTCGCCTTCAGCAATGTGCTTTATGAAAGACCTAATATTGAACTGTTAGCTTGACAAAGGAAATCAACAGAACAAAAAGGGACGTTGAACAAAAAAAGCCTGGTATATTCCTCAGACTGCTAATTTTTCCTGGTATATAAAGTGGATGTTCAATATCGGGTGCCAGAATTAGCAAAAGGTTTAGCAAAAGGTATAGCAAAATTCCTCTTCCTGTAAAAATGGCATTACAGATGCTTATATCTATGGTTGTATTCCCATCAGTTCAACTTGTTGTGATTGTGTTAATTGCCATTGAGAAGACACTACCTAATATTCCAGATCCTAAAGTGCACAGAGGGCCAGTGTTTAATGACAATAGCCTTCACCTAGTGTACGTGAGCTTATCATTGCTAAAATACTAAAGGTAGGTTTGGAGATGGGAGAAGTGATAATTGTCGACCTCTGGGAGTGAACATCCAAGAGTATAAAAAAAAACTTTTATTGCTCACAGAAAAGGAAGTCAGTAACATTCAGTTTCTCTGCAGCAAACATATTCTCACTGATGTAAGAGCACTAAACCTATCCTCTCTATTGCTCAATTAAAGAGCTTCTTGATCTGCAGAGATTTCACACCCGGTTGCCAGATACTAAACTGAAAGTAATTTTCAGGGTAGAAATGTAAAGCAAAAAGCTGCTGTAGCATCTATGAATGAAAAAATCGAGTTGCTTGCAAAATGAAAAACAAGGATGTCTGTGGTTTAACTCTGAAAAGCCTGAAGGGAGAAACCATTCTCCAGAAGTCAGGGGAGTGGGGGAAGGGATTCACAAGAGCACAAGAGAGCTTCAGATGAAGAAGGCTTTTTAGCCCGTTTGACCCCTTACTTCCAGAATATAATACTACTACTAATAATAATCCTTGCATTTGATATAGTGCTTATCACGTCTTTCAGACGTCTCAAAGTGCTTCACAGAATATACTATAAAGCGAATTGACTGTTTTTTTATGAGTGAAATATATACCCTACAATCCTCAAACCTGTCATTACGGATTAATTTTATGACACACTTTTATGCACAATTTCACACTTTTAAACACAGAATGTGTTTGGCAAAACCACAATATTGACCGAATTGAATGTTCCTGGTTGTGTTGCACTGGAACAGGAGATTCAATGATGGTTCCAGCAGAGCAAGTGCCGTTAAAAATATATTTTAAGAGTCCCTGTTTGCAGTTTATATCTACTGTCATTTGTAGATCGCAATTGTTTAAAAAAATGCATATTTTTGCCAATGTCATTTGTTTGCTTGAAGGTAGGAGTTGTGTATGAGTGATATGTGCTTTGTTTAATCTCTTACTCTGTGGAGTTCTTCTTCCAAACACTCCACCGTCTAGAATTCACAATAAACCCTCGCAAAATATTGACACGTATGGCAATGCTTTCTTTCTAATGTAAATATTACTTGCTTGATAATGAAAATCCTTGCCTTTTATAAAATGCTAATAACGTTGAAACATCAGAGAATTTTTTTCAACACTGTTTGTGCAAAGTGCTCTAAGATAATACCCTAAGCAAAATGCTATATAAATGCAAATTATTATTAATTGTAGGTGCATGTAATCTATTTGTATTCACAGGTAGGAAAACTCCAGGGGTTGTTTTTTCCCATAGCTCTAACTGGAGGCAACAAGCTACAACAACAACAACTTGCACTTATATAGCACCCTCCACGCAGGGTAGCGACTCAGAGCGCTTAACGGTGGTGGAACCTGACTCAGAGCTGGGGGAGTAGGGAGGTGGCCATAAGCACGGTCGAAGAGGCAAGTTTTCAGGTGGGACTTGAAAGAGGGGAGAGAGGAGGCAAGGTGGAGGGGTTTAGGGAAAGTGTTCCAGAGTTTTGGGGCACAGTGGCTGAAAGCGCAACCTCCGATGGTGGGGAGGGTGCGAGGGACGAGCTAGCAACAGGAACTTAGCAAAAATAGCAAGAGAGAATTTCATTGATATTCAAATGCAGTTAACAATGAACAATTATGTTTGGGCTTGCTGTGACAATTGTTTTCATCAGAAACTGTCAGACCACAGAGTGGCAGGGGAAAGCTGCCCAGCGATCATGGAATCAACAACAGTGGTTCTGTGACATTTGGAAGAGGTTTGAAAGATATTGTCTTCTAAACCTTGTGATTCACTCAGAGGTGAGCCAGGCTGCACCTGATCTGGTCCTATCAGCACGAAAGTACTGTAAAAGAACAACGAATTATGCTGTGTCGCTGTCACTTACTGAGATATGCAGTCTTGTCTGTCACCATATATTTGTTGCGATTGACTCGAGAAAACGAGACCTCTCCATTTTCTTTGCAACCCGGGACTACAAAATATTTCTGCAAGAGATAAACAAAAATAAAAACCTTGATGGGACCATCAGTAATGCTTTGAATGTGAAACAGTTTCATCTGTACGTATCTAAGAACATTTGATACAACAGCACTGCAGTAGTAAATGCATGGTACAGCTTTCATAAATTCATATATTTTTCAAGCATCTCCAAAGAGAATGTCAGTGAAGAGGTGTCACCACAAACAATCCTGTTTATTGGCTACCATTGATGATCTCTTTGTAAACATTTGATACCACAAATGAGGCAAAAGGTTGATTAAATTTTCACTTCACTGATCATCAGGAGAGATATTTTGCAGAAGAATGCTAATATTCCTTTCATTTAGTATAGCACCTTTCATGTTGTGAGGCCATCTCAAACCACTTCCCAGGATACATTGTAAAGTGAAGCAACTGTGTATTTTGTACACAGTTGGAGTCCTGTAGCTCAGTGGTTAGAGCACTCGCCTTGCAAGTAAGACACCTGGGTTCAATTCCAGGCAGGGCGAAACCTTGGGCAAGTTTCCTTACTCTATGCGCCTAATAATAATCCCTCCAAAACAAAGCAATAATAAATTGGTCATTTTCAATCCACAACTGTTTGTGGGACACTGCTGTGCGCAATTGGCTGCCGCGTTTCGCCCACAAAATATATACGGTCAATTCAGTCTATTCTGTGAAGCGCTTTGAGATGTCGAGAAGACGTGAAAAGCGCTATATCAAATGCAAGGATTATTATTATTATTATTTTTATAAACAAATGCAGCATTGAAGACTATTGAGCAATTTTCAAATTATGGGATCAACTAAACAGGCTGTAGTAGCATTTGTTGGATTCATAATGTTCCCATTAATCCATTTAAACAAATTAGCCCTCATCTGTATAGTTTGTTCCTGGAGATTAAGCATGTTTTTTTCTACTACATTGGAAGACATCAAAGTGCACACTCATTTATCTGATAATTAATCAATTAAGCGCTCATTTTTTTCTGTGGCTTAATGTTGTCATTAAATTTGAATTAAGTGATATTGCTCAGATCTAGAACAGGGTCCAATTTGTGGGACTAAGGAACAGAATTTTTAATAAGGAATATCAGTCAAACAAATGGAAACTCCTCCAGTAATGTGCCACATCAACCTGCACATAATAGTTGCTGAATGGATTGACTAAATATTTTCAGCAAACAAGGCAACCAACTTACACCCAGCAAACAGCCATCAATTGAATGATCAATATATCTGGACAGTTTATTGACTTGAATTCTAGCAGAAACTTTCTTATTTTTTTTCGAATAGTGGGCACTCCAGTCAATGTTGTCAGAGTGCTGCAATGTCAGAGGTGCTGTCCCTCAGATGAGACATTAAACGGAGGTCACTCTGCCTGTTCAAGTCGACGTTAAATATATTATTTAATATGTTTAATTATTTAATATATTTAATTATTTAATAATATATTATTATTACTATGGCACTATTCGAAAAGAGAAGGGCTTTTTCTCAGTGTCCTGGTCGACAATCCACCAGATAAAATTGGTCGCACTTCATGGCTGTTTCTGGGACATTGCTGTGTGTAAATTGGCTGCCATTCAAAATATAGTCACTAAATTTCATAGTAAAAATCCTGTGAATGTGGTCTTGACATTATAAGGCATTATATCAAGTGCAAAGATTATAACATCCACCTGAAAAGGACTCTGTTTGACATCTTATCTGAAGGACTGCACCTTGGACAATGCAGTGCTCCCCCAACGTCATTGGAGTGTCAACATAGAATGTGCATGACTTGAGACTTGAACCTACAACCTCCTGATTTAGAGGTAAGAGTGCTACCAAAAAGCCAAGGTAAAACCTCATGTTAGCACCTCATGTTGACGTCAATGCCTGGCTGGATACCGATTAACACTTGCTGAATTTTCTCCACTCTCAGAAGTTTCCTATAAAGTACTAGTTGCTCTGTGACTCCTCTGAGTTAGGCGTCAATTGGTGCTCAGGAACTGAGTTGACATCTGCAAAATACTTTTTACAAAGGGCCCTTCAACCAACAGAGAGAGGAGGCTTTCATAATAATAACTCCTCCCTCCACAGGCTGCAGATAATCCAGAACTCTGCAGCCCGTGTCCTCTCCCACACAAAACTCTGTGACCCCATCTCCCCCACTCTCGCCCGACTCCATTGGCTCCCTATCCTTCAGAGGATCCAGTTCAAGATCCTGGTCCTCACATACAAAGCCCTCCATGGCCTTGTCCCACCCTACATCTGCAACCTCCTAACCCCCTACCAACCGGCCCATTCCATGCGCTCAGCCGGCTCTGGCCTGTTCCATGTCCTCCGACCCACCCGCCCCACCATTGCGGGAGAGCCTTCAGCCACTCTGCCCACAACTTCTGGAATTGCATCCCCCAGTCACTCCGCCTCGCCCCCTCCTTAGCCTCCTTCAAGTCCCGCCTCAAGACTCTCCCCTTCGACCATGCCATCGACCTCCCCCCTTCCCCTCCCCTCCTTTTACCCCCCCAACCCCAGCTCGAGTCTGAAATGCTGTACTCTGTCCAGCACCTTGGGACGTCCTCCCAACGTGAAAGGAGCTACACAAATGTAATCTTGTTGTTGTTGTAATAATCCTTGCATTTAAGATTGCATCTTATCGCATCTTTGAAAAGTTTCAAAGCACTTCACAGAATATACTGTAAAGTGAATTGACTGTATATTTTGTGGGCAAAATGCAGCAGCCATTTGCGCACAGCTTTATCCCACAAACAGTTGTGGATTGAGTGACCAAATTATTACTATTTTTAAAAGGGATTATTACGCCCGGAAAAGTGATCCGTCAATCGACTAACAACCACATTCCTACTTACTGCTAGGTAAACAGAGGAGTGTGGAGTAAGGGAACTTGCCCAACATTTCGCCCTGCCCGGGAATCGAACCCAGATCCTCTTGTTTTCAAGGCGAATGCTCTAACCACTAAACTACAGGTCTCCATTTCATCTTTGTACTCTGCATTGCATACAAATAAGTTTCCTCAGGCTCTCAATACTCTTCCAATAAATACACTTGAGCAGAGAACCCAGCAGTGTGAGGAGGGAACTGAGTGAGGTGGAACTGAGTGAAAATTCTGTTAAGGAATTTAGTGAGAGTGGGAATTTGGTGCAGAGGGGAAAAAAGGTGCATAATTATAAAATATAAAATAGTTATATTAAAATAATATAAAACATGTCTGGGAATATGGCAGGGCAGATGAGACCACAATGTGTGCCATGTGGGAACACCAGGATGCTTTGTATGCCCTGGACAAACATGCGTATATAGGAAGTACCTCCGGCTGCTTGAGCTTGAGCTCAGGGTTTCTGAGCTCGAGGAGAGGCTGGTGTCACTACATAGCATGCGGGAGGCTGAAGAGTTCATGGATCGAACAATATTATGATAAATATCAGGTCCAAATAATCAAATAGAATATAAAAGTACAGAGGAGAACTGAAAAAGGAAATAAGACAGGCAATGAGATTGTATGAGAAAAGATTAGCGGGAAACATAAAAGGAACCCTAAGGTATTTTATAAGCATTTAAAGAATAAAAGGTTAGTCAAAGGTAGGGTGGGTCCAATTAGGGACCAAAGATGAAATTTTCTTGTGAAGGCAGAGGGCATGGTTGACATACTGATTGAGTACTTTGCATCAGTCTTCACAAAAGAAGAGGATGCAGCCAATGCCACAGTATCGTAGGTAGTAGAGAAATTGGATAGATAAGAATAAACAGAGAGGAGGTACTAAAAAGGTTGTCAGCGCTCAAGGTAGATAAGTCACCCAGTCCAGACGGGATGCATCCTAGGTTACTGAGGGAAGTAAGGGTGGGAATAATGGAGGCTCTGGCCACAATCTTTCAATCCTCCTTGGACACCGGGGTGGTGCCAGAGGACTGGAGGCTTGCAAATGTTACTCCGCTGTACAAAAAGGGGCAGAAGGATAAACCCAGCAACTACAGGCCAGTTAGCCTAACATCCATAGTGGGGAAACTTCTAGAGGATATAATCTGGGACAAAATAAATTTTCACTTAGAAAAATATGGGTTGATAAAGGACCTCCAACATGGAGTTTTTTGAGGAAGCAACAGAGAGGGTGGATGTAGGTAGCACAGTTGATGTAGTTTATGTGGATTTTCAAAAGGTGTTTGATAAAGTACCACATAAGAGACTTGTAAACAAAATAGAAGCCCGCGGTATTAAAGGGACAGTGAATGGATACAGAACCGGCTGGGAGACAGAAAGCACAGAGTGGTGGTGAATGGCTGTTTTTCTGAGTAGAGGGAAGTGTGCAGTGGTGTCCCCCAGGGGTCGGTATTGGGACCACTGCTGTTATTGATCTATATAGGTGACCCTAAATATAGGGTTTAGGGAGTACAATTTCCAAGTTTGCAGATGATACTAAACTAGGAAAAGTAGTAAACAGTGAGGAGGATAGTAGAAGACTGCAGACGGACATAGACAGACTGGTAAACTGGGCAGACACGTGGCAGATGAAGTTTAATGTGGAGAAATGCAAAGTGATGCATTTTGGGAGGAAGAATGAGGAGAGGCAATATAAGCTGATGGTACAATCTTAAAGGGGGTGAAGGAACAGAAAGACCTGAGGGTTCATATATATAAATCATTGAAGGTGGCAGGACAGGTGGATAAAGCTGTTAAAAAGCATACCGGATACTAGGCTTTATAAATAGGGGCATAGAATACAAAAGTTCGAAAGTTATAAAATACTGGTTCAGCCTCAGCTAGAGTACTGTGCTCTGTTCTGGGCACCACACTTTAGAAGGGATGTCAAGGCATTGGAAAAGGTGCAAAGGAGATTTACCAGGATGGTACCAGGAATGAGCGACTTCAGTTATCAGGAGAAACAAGGATTGTTCTCCTTGGAACAGAGAAGGTTAAGAGGAGACTTAATAGAAGTTTTCAAAATTATGAGGGGATTTGATAGGTTGAACAAGGAGAAATTATTTCCATTGGAGGGTGGGGCGG